TAGAATTACCAGTAACTTCCTAGAATTACCAGTAACATATAGACTGTCGTGTTTTTAAATGTTAATTCCTAGAATTACCAGTAACATATAAACAGTCGTGTTTTTAAATGTTAATTCCTAGAATTACCAGTAACATATAAACAGTAGTGTTTTTAAATGTTAATTCCTAGAATTACCAGTAACATATAGACTGTCGTGTTTTATATGTTAATTCCTAGAATTGCCAGTAACATATAGACTGTAGTGTTTTAAATGTTAATTCCTAGAATTGCTAGTAACATATAGACTGTAGTGTTTTATATGTTAATTCCTAGAATTGCTAGTAACATATAGACTGTAGTGTTTTATATGTTAATTCCTAGAAGTACAAGTAACATATAGACTGTAGTGTTTTATATGTTAATTCCTAGAATTACCAGTAACATATAGACTGTCGTGTTTTTAAATGTTAATTCCTAGAATTACCAGTAACATATAGACTGTAGTGTTTTTAAATGTTAATTCCTAGAATTACCAGTAACATATAGACTGTCGTGTTTTTAAATGTTAATTCCTAGAATTACCAGTAACATATAGACTGTCGTGTTTTATATGTTAATTCCTAGAATTACCAGTAACATATAGACTGTAGTGTTTTAAATGTTAATTCCTAGAATTACCAGTAACATATAGACTGTCGTGTTTTTAAACAAAGTTTCCTAAACTGTTTAAACGTCCATGTCTTCCTTGGCCACAGGAAACCTGGTAGCATATGAGACAAAAATACCACGAATATTGTAATTAACCCCGCTAAGTACTAGGAGACAAATAAAAATACCACGAATATTGTAATTAACCCTGCTAAGTACTAGGAGACAAAATAAAAATACCACGAATATTGTAATTAACCCCGCTAAGTATTAGGAGACAAAATAAAAATACCACGAATATTGTAATTAACCCCGCTAAGCACTAGTGGGGTCCCGTGATTTTATCACCTTTTGTTTTTCCAGTCGTTACAATGAGTGCTGTAACAGAAACTTAAAATTAACCAGGATCTATAAAAGAAGTGGCCCAAACTTGGCGGTTACTTTACCAGAGGCTTAATATGTTGTTTGCATAGCGAGTTATTTATTTTTGTTATGAAAGGGTAATTTTATGTCGAATTACTTGATAGTTTTTCTCAACTAATACTTATTAAATTAATTTATGCGCATGCGCCTCTTTATATGAAAGCCCACCTTGTTTCTTCTAATCATTCTACAATATTGGACACAAGTATAAATTTTGGAAAGGTAGGAGTCATTTTTAGCTAAGATAATCAGTTATAAGATTAGATGTTGCTTCATACAAGTGAACATTGTAGTAATGTTTGTTTTTACCATAGTTTAATATTTTATTTCAGGGCAAACGCGCAGACCAAAGAATCTAAACAAAGATTTAGTATCGCCATCTACCGGAAATAATGAGCAAAAATGTGATATATTGTCTCCAAGGCTTAGTGAAGTGTCAACGAAGAGTAATTTTCTGATGCCATCACGAAGTTATCAAGATAGTATTTCTTCAAAGCAGGTTGAGAAAATCTATGAAGAACAGTTTGTCCCAAATATTCCACGAAGTTACACGGACTTGGAAGTTCTAGGTGCCAAAGGGTTGATTAATCCAGTCAGCCAGACTAAGGGACCCTCAAATGAGTTATATTCCCCAATCGGGATGGACGTACTAGAAAAATTACGGTGTTTACACAACCAGTGCCGTCTACCGACCAAACAACATACAAGTTGCAGAAACAAGAAAGAGACACTAGCTCCCCCTGCCGAACAGTTATCAGTTAGTTCGCCAGGCTTAAATCGGGTGTCGCAAATATCTTCCAGTTTAACTTTCGGAAACAAAATTCCGCCTACAAACTCCGTCCACTCCGGATTCCCGCGAGATCATATTCTGCGTCCAATCGTCAGGTCAAACTCGAGCGCGAACAATAATGGTGGATCTTCTAAAAACCTGTCTGTTCGGTTTAATCCAGTTCTCATAAAACATCCGTTCGAAAATGATGCAAGAAGTGACAGAATAAAGGAATCGCACTGTTGTACATTTACACACACTAGCCGTGACGTCATGGGTGAAAGTACAGCGTCATCCATAGATTCTTCGCCACTTCGGGCTCACGGGAAGAAAACTGGAAAGTTGTCCAAACGATCTTCGTGTCACCCTCGCGACAGAGATAACCTGAACTCAACCGCAAAATCTAAAATACCGCTTTCAGCTCACGAGACCAGACGAACATCGCACAGAATTCAGTTACCTTTGGTAAAAGACGACAAAACAAACGAGATAAGCCTTCAAAGGCCTAGCGAAAGAGAAGAGGATGAGTCTTGTAGCACTTGTTCCACTTCCAGTTCCGAGGACTTACTCTACGAACTTCCTCCAAGACGAGAGTATGGTGGTGTCAGAATATCCTGCGTTAGCAATGACGCATTAATGGTTGCTAAGCAACATGCCAAACGACCACCAGATGGAAGCACAGAGCAAACCGAAGATAAAAACTGTATTATATCCTGACGTTTCTCTAAACTAATCATTTCCCTTTGGAAAATAAATACTAAGGATTTTTATTTTCAATTTGCAACTGCTTAAAACAGAAATTCTCTAAACAAAAATGACCCCACTATATTCTCGTTTCAATTTCTCAGAGATGATAAATTTTCTAGGATTTTCAAAAATAAGCCAGGAATCCACAGTGGACGATCTTAGATCATTTTAAACTGATACATTAGTCTTGTAAGGCCCCAGTGACTCAACAGCAAGTCTGAATAAAGGCTCATAACATTAAAAACCGGATATTCGATACCCGTGGTGGGCACAACACATATAATCCATTGTGTAGTTTTGTGCTTAATAACAAAATAAACATTAGTCTTTTACACCTATATAATAAAGCATATTCTCATAACACACCCTTGCCAGTGACTATAAAATGGCCGACATGGAAAAATTATTATAGTATCTTATTGAGTGCTAACTAGAATATAATAAATAACATTAATATTTTTTTTTCGCCGGAATTACTTCCATTTAAATAAATCCGTCGAAGAAAAAAAAATAGGTCTGAAAGTCCACAAGTTTTACACTTTTAAGTCTTAACATAACTAGTTCACAAATTAAACTTGACATTTTTAGATTATACAAGACACAAAGGGAAAAAATGCGTGATAACTCTTTACATTTCAATGCCTATCGCAAAGTCATGCTTTGTGTAATAACACATTAGGCCTATTTATGATTTTGTATCTAAAATCAAGTCACCTGTGGTGCGTGTTTAACTACGGAATTGACCGCCATATTTAGTATTATTATTCAAAAGGTACAATGTAATATCACGTTAGGCCTATAACGATTTTATATCAAAATCAAATCACCTGTGATGTGTGTTTAACTACGGAATTGACCGCCATATTTAGTATTATTATTCAAAAGGTACAATGTCATATCACGTTAGGCCTATGATGATTTTATATCTAAAGATCAAGTCACCTGTGGTGCTGTGTGTTTAACTACGGAATTGACCGCCATATTTCGTATTATTATTCAAAAGGTACAATGTCATATCACGTTAGGCCTATGATGATTTTATATCTAAAATCAAGTCACCTGTGGTGTGTGTGTTTAACTACGGAATTGACCGCCATATTTCGTATTATTATTCAAAAGGTACAATGTCATATCACGTTAGGCCTATGATGATTTTATATCTAAAATCAAGTCACCTGTGGTGTGTGTTTAACTACGGAATTGACCGCCATATTTAGTATTATTATTCAAAAGGACAAGAAAATGTGTATACATAAAACACAAGTTATTTTTATAACACCAATGTAGAAATAAATCTGTACACTCTGCATTGTGTGGCTGTTTAAAGTATTTAACTAAGCTATCTGTCAAGGAATTTAACATCATATTAATTGCTATATGTTTAAACTGTACACGTATTTTACAATAAATATCATCCATCTATCAAACTGATATTTAGTTTATCGTATTCCTCCCTTTAAGGCAGGATTTGACCCTTAAAACTGGACAAATTTACATGCTGAGGGAACACTTATAACCTTTAAGTTGAACACAAAACAAAAATATGATGTTACAATCTCTGAAAGTACACTTTCAGTCATATATATAAATAAATACATAACATAAACTGTTTTAATACCATAACTTTACTTAGCAATGATAAAATTGATACACGTGCTTTGTGTGAACATCCTCAAAGTTTGTATTTAAACTTTGCAAATTTTCTGCAACGTTAAAGAGCTATGGGCAATTAATTTTAATTAATGCCTTTGTTAGTGGTAATTAGTCTCATAACTAGACAATTGGTAAAGATTTTTTTGGAATATTAATAAATTCAAGCAATGGAAGAGTGTAATATCAACAAGTGTGCTAAATTTCATGCTGATATTGGATTTAATAGTGAAATGAAAACAAACTATACTTTTATTTTTAATAACTTATTGCAGGTTAATTAGTAAAGATTGTAAGACAAAAATGAATTAAACTTTCGATGTAAGCTAAACTTGAAATATTGGGGGCGCTCTTTAAGGTCAGTGCTACATGGACGCTTAAATAATAATAAAAGGGGTCGCTAATAAGGAATCAATTCTCACCTTTAAGTTTTCCTCGACAGTCGCTACTGTTACTTGCTAAATACGGCCTTTAGTTTTCACGATTGATTAGATAACGCCATTTTCCCAAAGAGAACACCTTTGTTGGATATAAAAGCAGGATTGGAAGATTTCGCTAGAAAAAAATAGTTATCCAACTAACAAGAAAGGGTGAGAAAAGAGAACGCGTGGTTCTAGGAGTTAACAGTACGGAATCATTTCGTTATAAAAATAATTATGTATATTTTCCGCAGGTACCAAAAAAAACGGGTATTTATCTAACGTTCTCGGGGATTGTTTTCAGAGGAAATAAAAAGACTGGTGACTAGATCTAAATGTATTAAGCCTAACATAACAAAAGTTGAACTGATAGCCCTTAAACAATTACGGGAAAAATAATAATGTGATTATTACGAATTATTGTGATTATTTAAGTAAAACGAGTGAATTATTAAGTAACCAAGAGCTTTATAAACTTTTAATTAACAACCCGACTAAAAATAAAAAGACTGGTGAGTAGATCTAAATGTATTAAGCCTAACATAACAAAAGTTGAACTGATAGCCCTTAAACAATTACGGGAAATATAATATTGTGATTATTTAAGTAAAACGAGTGAATTATTAAGTAACCAAGAGCTTTATAAACTTTTAATTAACAACCCGACTAAAAATATAGAAAATAAACTGAGCCAATTTTTATTAGATTTAAAAAAAGAAACTTATTAAATGCTTCTCTTTACAATTTTTTGAGATCTAGTGATGCAAAAACAACATACATTTATGGGTTGCCTAGTTACACAAACAAGTTGTACCTCTCGGGCCTATTGTATCCACTAGAGGAACGTTTAACTATAACGTAGGTAAATTTTTATCCTGGATATTTAGACCTTATGCATTACAGGTAGAATGTGTTATTAAAAATACAGAACATTTTACCAAGTTATTATGTACCTTGTAGTTTTTTTAGATAGTTTTGATGTTGTTTTATTATTTACTCAAGTACCAATCAACGAATCTATTGACTGTGCTCTTTCTTGTTTTATACATGATGAAAATCCAAGAACACAACCATCTCCACAAGTTTTAAAACGAATGTTAATTTTTACAACAAAACGAACTGTATTTCAATTTAATGAGGAAATTTATGATCAGGTTGAGGGAATAAGTATGGGCAGTCCATTAGCACCCGTTCTAGCTAATATCTTTATATTATATGCTGGATTATAAAGTTAAAAGTACCGTTAATCTAAGATTAGGTTTTTTGTCAGATATGTTGATGATACATTTGCTGGCTTTGTTTCTGGACAAATGGTTGAAAAGTTTAGTATTTTTAAATTCGCTACATTCTAATATCAAATTTACCCACGAGAATGAGGGTGAGTTATCTTTTCTTAATATCATGGTTAGTAGGGTTAATAATGCTTTTAAAACGAAAGGAAACTCATACTGATTTGTACTTGAAACGGTCGTCAGCTCATCACAAATATAAAAAAATTGGGATAATAAAAATGTTATTAGGCGTTGTTAAGCCTAATTGTAGTTGAAAAGAAGAGTTGGACAATGAAGTACATTATCTGAAAAATGTGTATCCTATGATTATCCTATTAGTGTGGGTAGAAAATACTTAAGAACTGATAAGTTGACAGAAAAAAAAGAAAAATCATTCAGATAACTTAGTTTATTGTGTAATTCCTTATGTACGTGGCCTAACAAATACGATAAAAAACCTAGGAAAGAAACGGAAAGGATATATATATAAGCTTCAAATTGTAAAAAAAAGATGAATATAATCTTTATAAATAGAATTAAACCAACTGCTATTGAGAAAGAAGTCGTTTACAGTGTACGGACTGTAATATTATCTGTATAGGGGAGACTGGTAGAAATTTAAATACTAGAATAGCAGAACGTGTACATGCTACGTCACGTGACTACCAACATTTTAATGATACAGAATATTGTAATGAAAATAAAATTGTTAAAATTATTTACAGAGAACCTAATATTAATAAACGTAAAATAAAAGAAGCCATTTTAATAAAGGAATACAAACCTTTAATAAATAAAACACAAGGAGTAGGTTTATACTTTTGCTAGCTAAAGGTCATATGGTTGACGTCACCAAGTGTCGTGTACAATTATACTGAACACCTGATGATACCACGTTAACTTTGGCGAAACGTTGTTTTTAAATGATGCATTTTTTTCTGTTTTTTAATTTTGTGGAGTGTGGGATACCTCCAACATTTATATAGATAAGGTCATGCTGAATAGATGTTGATATCTGTTGTACGGGAATAAGGAGAACAAGTAACTGAAGAAATACTTACTAGACAATAAACGCAGAAACTATAGGCAAGTCAGACGTTTTGTCTTTAAAATAATGAGAATGAGCGATGTTAAAGAGGGCACTTAAAACGATAATCCAGCCATGTTTAATATTATACAAGTAAACTATTACTGGAAATTTGACAACGATGGTGTCTTGTTTTACGTGAGGTCACCTGTGGTAATACTGTGTACTAGAACTACCTTTACACCAAGCTTGTGCTGTTCTTACAACCTCGGAAGAGTTATAAACTTGACTCGTAAGGAAAATGAAACAAGTTAGCGTTTAGGAGCAGAAAAGAGATGTTAAAACACAAGTTCACATTTTACGTTGATATCGCTTTATTAAAGAACTTTCGAGACAGTCTTCTATACATAATTATGTTGGGGCCTTTACTAACCAATATGGTGGCCTTATCACAGCGCAGAATGATTATATATATATATATAAACCGAAGAAAGGCTACAATAACGACAGGAAAAAAAAAACTGAAACCGGTAACATGAACATTAAGTTTGAGTATTCCTAGAACACTGAAAACAAATATTACTGTGTTTTAATTCTTTAAGAGTTACTGATTATATAACAACAAGTAATTAATCAAACCCTAAAAGAAACGAAAATCTTTCG